GGGGAGTGGTGTGGGGGTAGGGGAGAAGGTAGGGACTTGTTGGGACCAGGCCAGTGACCTCCCTCCACCACACTACTGGAAACCTGCAGCCCTGCCGGCTCAGGACCTGGGGGGCAGCCTTGGAGTCTCCTACTCCCCAGCTACATAACACCCCAAAAGCAGCCCAGGAAGACCCCCCCACACACATACACACACACACATCTGGAAGAGCTTTTCCGTCTCATCTCCCACCCCCACACAGCCCCCCCCCACATCCTAAAATAGGAACTTCTTCACCCCTCCCTTCCTTGACACTAGGAGCACAGTGCTGCTGTGACTCAATCTGCGTTTGGAGCAGCCCCAGGAAGGACTGGCTGGCGTGGTTTGCTTTTGGCTTCTGTGAAATCTGCACAACTCTGCTGAAGGTCACCCCTTCCTGGCTTGGCCCCTTCTGTGTCCCTACCTCAGCCTCCTCCCCACCATGGGGGTTACTTCAAAGAAACTATGTAGCCTTCTGGGGCATGTATGTATACTAGAGTCAGATGCCATTTAATGGGGTTAAGTGTGGCCAGCACCAACTATTGCCAGGCAAAACTCAAGTCCACAGGACAGCTTAATCCTCTAGAAAACAGTGCCAAATATTTACAGAGGGGACCAAGGGTAGAGAGGTTCAGCCACCTGCCCAGAGAAATGGCGTGGGTGAGGGTGCAAGTTGGGAGGCTGTGGTGACCATGCTCTTCCTGTAGCCATGAAGTAGCAAGACCCTTTACCCGAAGAGGACCCCAGCACATTAGCTGGAATCCCTGATGCCTGTCTGGCCATGTGAGCTGGAAGCCCTTGCAAACCTGTCCAGTCCTCCTTGCTACTAGCTGGTTAACTGCCTGGTGGTCCAAGGGGAGCCTAGTGAGAGAGACCCCCTGAGCAAAGCTAGAGGAACTTAGAAAAGATCCTAAGATGAGCCACCATCAATGTCTGTGTGGAGAGCAGGAAGGCGTGAGTTGGATTGGTTTGGTGGCCATGCTTTCCATATCGGCACTACCACTTGACAAGTGTAATGTGCAGACTTGAACCGATTGCCATTTCAAGAACAGTGGCAGTGGAAAGTGGCCTGGTGCTGTCTCCCCTCCCTTCACGCACCTCCAGCGTCTCCTGGCTGCTGTTCCTTTCAACCTGCTATTTGTTGTCTGCAAGGGTAAATTGCCTTTAGAGAAAAAACAAGTGTTCTTTCCTTTTCCTCAGTCCACAATGGTGTCCTTGTAGTCGGAATTAGGGAAATGATGGCAGTGGGTGCTTGGGGTCCTTAAAGCCCCCTGACATCTTTTCACGGAGGGCAGCTGTGCTCCTACTCAGGGATGCCAAGGTTGTAGTGATAGCTCCTAACCTTGGTCCCTTGAACCCCTTCTGCCAATCAGGCCTTTATTCCCAGTGCCCAGACCAAGCTCAGGTACTCTAATCATAACCCTTGGGTTTGGAGCAAATGGCTGCTCAGAGTCTAATGAGGGTGACCCAAGCTCTATTTCAATTATTACTGCACTAAGAGCTGGAGACCATGCCAGGCCTCTCCCCTCAAAACTGGATGTTGAGCAGGCAAGCCACTCCAGTTCCAAGTCTGCCCTTTAGAAACCACACACCCTCCCCATCTGACCTCTTCTGTCAGCCATCTTTCCTCTTCATCCCTATCCCATATCCTTGCCCACTTCTCTCCACTACTAGAAAAAAGGGTTAAAACCCAGAGCCAAGGTACAGCTTAGCAGCTCACACTGGAAACAGGTTGGTGCTTGTAAAGTGCTTTTCATGAGTGACTTCACACATCTTGGCACTTCTAGAAGCATAGCCTGCATGTGGAAGAAGGAGGGGTGTGCTGAAAAATACGAGCAAACAAGCCTCATATATAGCTGCAAAGCGCCTTGAGGTGATGTTTGTCATTGAAATCAGATGATTTTGCCCTCTCCACCATGTCCTGCTGCCAAGGGTCAGCAAAGTCAGTTTTGAAGCACTTTGTTTTAGAGGTAGAAAAAGACCCCAGCTATTTCAACAGTAGCTTCTAGAAGTCGGGTGGGATGAGTGTCACTATAGCTCTGCCTCTCAGTCTCTTTGTTTCTTACCCCAAAGTCCCCTTTGGTGTACATCCCAGAGAAACCGGGGTGTGGGTGTGGGTAATGGTAATCCCTGTTCTTCACTAATGGCTTGATGTAAGCAGCATGGCCTTTGCTGAGGATGTTTCAGCTGGGGGGTTGGGCTGCACTTGCTTGTCACCCAGGAGAAGGGCCTCCTGCCAGGCGGGGCCATTGCTCATTGTCCCCTTCTACTCTGCTCCATCTTTGGCCAGGAACCTGAAGAGTTAAAAGTCTTTAGCTTGTTGCAATGAAATTATGGCTGGCAGTGGCGCCACTGTTTGTTCAACAGACCTCCACTTTTAAACAGTTCACAAAAAGTTCATGGGGCAGCTAAAGATTATAAGAAGTGTGTGTGTGTGTGTGTGTGTGTGTGTGTAGTCCACAGCAGGATCCAACAATGTGTACCCCTCTTTTGCTTTTTTATGTTTAGCCCCAACCCTGCCCCCCAATATATACACAGATGACACTGAAACTCACTCCTGGCCTCCACCCTCCATCTGACCCTGTGCATGTGAGAGCACTTCATTCTGATGGCTGGTGTCATTTATCTGTGCAGCATTAATATTGAAAGCCCCAAAGGACGAGCCCTGGTGAAGGGGAGAAGCTTTGAAAGCACCCAGTGGTCCCAGGTGCCTCTAAGCTGCAGTCACCTTTCCCTGAGTCCAGGCCCTTTTTACAAGGTGACTACTAAAGAAGGTATTGTAGGGGCAGCTTGTTTGAAACAAGGGGAGACAGTTTTTATTAATAAGAATGGGGACACCAGAAGATTAAGGTTCCTTAGGCACATGCTTATTCCCTCATCCTTTTCTTGGGGATTTGATTGAGTGACCCTTTTACTCTTGATGTAATTTCCTCATTTTATCGTGGTGTGAACAGTGAGGAGATGAAGCCTGATGACTAGGACACACCAGCACCAAGGAATGTCTTCTCTATCAGGCCACCCAGAATGTCTTCCTTTTGTTAGAAGGGGTGGCAAGGACTGGGGAGGGGACAGTGCCTTGAATGTGCTTTGTGGTCTGCCCAGCACTAGTGGTGGCCTTCCCCACTTAATTTACAAATTTGAAGGATGGAAGAAAAAGCCTGTGGGCTCCCAAAGAACCTTCCCCAGCACCTGAGTCAGTCTTTTTAGGGTGCTGTGGTTAGCCCATTGGAAACCCCCCAGGCTGTCTGAAGAAAGACTCTTCCTAGGGAAATAGCTTTTCAGAAGCCCACGACGGCTGATGCATCTCTGCAGATTTCTGCCTCTTTCTCGGGCGTTTTCCTTCTCTTCCAGCTTCATTGTTGAGCTCTAACTATGCGTGGTGTGTTGGTGCATGTGGATTTTGATTAACAGACGTTGTTCTATGGATGGGGGCCGATGGGGGATGCTGATGGACAAAAGACTTAGTTAGGACAAAGAAATGGGTAAGGAGAGCCTGGCTTTTGGATTCAGTCCTCCCAGGTGCTCCCCCACCCCCACCCTCAGTCACTCCTGCAGAAGAGTCGCTGGACCTGATGCCTCTAGCCCAACCAACCGACCTGGCAGTCTACTCCGTGTGCTAAAATGTAAAAGCAAGCATTTGCATATTTTTTTCCTGCTAACAAAGGAAATGTGTCGACTTAGGGAACATTTGGGCTTTCGGAAACTGTGTGGGTGGGTGTGTGAGGGAGGAGAAAGAAAAGTTCCCCTGATGATCTGCACACCAATTATTTCACACCCAGTTTTGGGTCCCGTGGAAAAATGCCATGGCCTGTCCTGGACAGGGGACACTGAGATGTGTTTGTGAGTAGGGAATTGCCGAGGGCCATCGGTCCCAGGCATTAAAGGCTCCCCTACTTATTAACCCAGCATTTAACAGCAGGATATGGGCTGAAGCGCAGTCAAAAGAAACGGCTCAACCTCCAAAGAGCAATTAAAATCCTGCACGAGGATAAATCACGCGCCGTGATAATCCTGTTAATAAAATGCAGCTTGTCCTGACCCTTCACTCATGCAGCAAACTAGAATGTGATGTGGGTGGGGGCGGTGGGCAGAGGAGGTAAGGGAGGGTGAGAGGTGGTCTGTGCTCCTCTGCCTCAGCAGTCTCCCCCTCCCAGGAGGTGGAAAATGGGTGGCTTTTGCCCGCTCCCCGTGTGTGCCAGCGGCTTGGAGCCCATCAGCCTGGGCTGCTAAGACTTCTGCGCTCGCTAATGATTTCTTGTCCCCAGCGAGCAGGCGTCATTGAATTACTCAGCCGCCTCCCTCTGCAGCTCCCAGGCAAAACCACCCAGGCAAAACCACCGGGGTTAGGTGCTTAATCTAATCTAGGGCTCCGGTGGGGTGGCTCACCAGCCCACCGACTCTTTTTTTCGCCTTCAATCTCTTAAGTTGCATACATGACAGCCTTGGAAATTCAGCCCTAGTTTGAGCCCTGGACCCGCCGCCACACCTCACTCTTGTGCCTTCCACCATCCTTACACCCTTTTGTCCCCAAGAAGGATCAGTTTGTGTTTCCCTGGACCTATTGCTATATTCTCCCCTTGAATAAAGTCTTTCCTGCCTTCTTTAGCAAATGTCAAAAGTGATTCATTTTTTCCTGACCACCATACATTTTCAAAGGCTGGGAAAGGGGGCAGGCAGGCAGGGGCAGTGGTACATCTTGGATGTGTGCTGTGCCTTGGATAGGGCTGCCTGTTTCGCTTTGAACTTTTCCCCACCCCCAGTGCCTCCTACTGGGAAAACTGTACCCCCCCTCTGCTCTACATGCTGTACATTCTGGTCCAGTGTACCCTTGGCTCCTGGATTTCTGTAGACATCAAGCATAGCCTGCCTTCCCGAGTCTGCCTCCTGTATGAATTGCCTAGAAAGAGGCCTTCTGGAGCTCCCTGTTTGGCCCTCCTTTACTCAGCCTCGTGGGTTTTTTTTTCCTTTTTTCTTTTAAACAGACTAGACGCTTGAAGCAAAGCTGCCATCTCGGAAGACGACATGCTCTCAGCAACCCCCCTGTATGGGAACGTTCACAGCTGGATGAACAGCGAGAGGGTCCGCATGTGTGGGGCAAGCGAAGACAGGTGAATGCAGCCACCTGGGCCAGGCTTGAGGCGAGAAAGCTGGCCTCTTCCCCGAGCTCCTGAGCCCTCACTGAAGCCCCCCCCCTTCTCACAGCCACAGTGGCCCAAAGGGGGTGGGAGAGAAAGCTCCTGCCTAGGCGGCAGCCCTTGATTTACAGTTTTAACAGGCAACCCGGCTCAGCGAAGCATTGCCGCCCTTTAAAAGATTAGCCCCTAAAGCGGCCTTTCAGTGCACTTTCGTCCTTAATTTATTATTTCATATTTATGAAGGAGAATTAATCCCAGTCTATATGCTGCTTTAACTCTAAATGTCAGGAGCGTGGGCCCAGGTGGAGCGGCATTCGATGTGCTTTTAAAACAAATAGTTTGCTCAGTAATAAATGGGGAGAGAGCCACCCTTTCCTTCATGTAAGCCCAGGATTTCTCGTTGTCCTCTGCTGCCTGTTCAGTGAGGCCATTGGCACCTGGTTTTAGTTGCCCAACAGCTCTGTTGTGCTTCCTGATCAGTAATTTTAGAGCGTGGGGTAGAGGCAGCTAAGCAGTAGATGATTGAAGCTGCTTTTTGGGGTAATGATGAAACTTTTCCTTCGCTGCTTGTCAGCAATTTTATCCTGGGGATTTGGAAGTTGGCACCAAGCACTTTCTTTATCGATGCTCTCTGATAACAAGTCCCAGGGCAGCCGCAGCAGCCTGGCACAGATGTGCAGCTTCCTCTTCAGCCTGGAACAGCTGACATTTGTATGATACTAGTGTGTATCCCCCCTGTCATTTTGATAAAGGCAGTCAAATACAGCTTCCTTATCACCATGGAAACCAGTTTCATAGGACATGGTTTCTAAGTTTGTTTTGGGAAAAGTTTTGAAAGCCTACCCTCATGGGTAATATGGAAGTGGTTGATGAGGCGGCCAGCCTTCCAGTCCCCATTGGCTGTGTGACTACTTCATGTGTACCCTCTGGTAGAGTTTATAAGGGTTGGCTGGGACAGCTAAGCTCTGATCTGCCTACTTGGCCTCTAGGGTAAAAGATCTCATGGGGGCTGGGCGCGGTGGCTCACACCTATAATCCTAGCGCTCTGGGAGGCCGAGGCGGGCGGATTGCTCGAGGTCAGGAGTTCGAAACCAGCCTGAGCAAGAGCGAGACCCCCGTCTCTACTATAAATAGAAAGAAATTAATTGGCCAACTAATATATATATAAAATTAGCCGGGCATGGTGGCGCATGCCTGTAGTCCCAGCTACTTGGGAGGCTGAGACAGAAGGATCGCTTGAGCCCAGGAGTTTGAGGTTGCTGTGAGCTAGGCTGATGCCACGGCACTCACTCTAGCCTGGGCAACAAAGCGAGACTCTGTCTCAAAAAAAAAAAAAAAAAAAAAAAAAATCTCATGGGGACAAGTGGTTGTGCTTAATTTCTGGCTTACCCACCTCAGGGACATACTTGTGATTCAAGTTCCCACACATGAAAGGCCCTGCCTTTCCTTTGCTTTTTTTATTTCTGGTCAAGCTGAATCACCATTTGGGGGCAACTTTTAATATGGGCCATTGTGGAGGGGGTTACGGACAATTTAAAAAATTGGGTTAGTAGAAACTGGTTTGTTCTGGGAGATATGTGAAAGATGGATTCAGTGAGGAATGCTTTCATGAAGTTGGTGTGTCCTTTTAATAGGAAAATTCCTGTAAATGATGGTGACACTTCAAAAGCCAGACTGGAACTGAGGGAAGAGAATCCCTTGAACCACAACGTGGTAAGAGATTAATGGCTTCTGTTGATGTGATATCTGAATATCAGTGATCTGTAATCAATCGTATTAATTTGCATACCATGAAAGGGTGGGGGATTGGTGGGGGATTCAGAGCAGGGCAGAGGAAGGACAAGGCCCCTACCCAAGCTCTTTCTGTCTTGCCTTCTTGGCGGTGCTCTCTTTCTGATGTGCTTGCTGCATATGTCCCCATGCCCTAGTGGCTTGTAGGTTACATGCTGCCTTTTCTTCCATAAGCTACGATCCACATCAAGGCTCCCAGCTGGATAAATTTCCAGCTACCAAGAAGCCCCTTAGGGTTTACCTTTCCAGTAAAATATGAAACATAGGACTGTCTCTTCAGACACCAGGGAGAGGAAGTCAAAAGATGCAACCACAGTTTAACCCATGGCCTCTTTATTGATTTAGAAATGCGCAGCTAAAGTCCTCCGTTACTGATGTCCCACTGAAGATTGTGTCTTGTTCTGTTAAATAATACCTACTTATACCCAGGAAAAACAAAATGAGCACCCCTCCCCTCAATTCCTAACAAGCCTGGGGAGGGTTCATGTGAGTTCTGTATCCCTTGAAGGTGGTACTAAGAGTTTTGGATTTGGTGGTGGCTTCTCAGTTGCAGCAAAGAAGTTTTGCTGAGAAGATAAAATTTCCAGAGTTAATAGATGACTGAATTAATATATGGGCCTCCAGTCTAAAGGGTTCAACGTTTTCCATGCTTCCAGGTTACTATTTGAACAGAGGTGAGAAGACAGGCAGCAAAGGGGTTTGGATAAGTGGGGAGGGGCAACAGATGGCAGGAATCCTTTCTTTAACCCTTTCTGCTCAAATGTTAAGGCTTATGTCATGTGAACTAGTTTGTGGCGTCTCTTCTGGTTGGGTGCTGCTGCTTTGAAGGAGTGTCCCAAGTAATACCCTTGTTGTTCTTCTGCAAAGGTGGATGCAAATACGGCCCATCGGATTGATGGCCTGGCAGCACTGAGCATGGACCGCACCGGCCTGATCCGGGAAGGGCTCCGGGTCCCCGGAAACATTGTTTATTCTAGCTTGTGTGGACTGGGCTCAGAGAAAGGTCGGGAGGCTGCCACAAGCACTCTAGGTGGCCTTGGGTTTTCTGCAGAGAGAAATCCAGAGATGCAGTTCAAACCGAATACACCCGAGACAGTGGAGGCTTCCGCTGTCTCTGGAAAACCCCCAAATGGCTTCAGTGCTATATACAAAACACCGCCTGGAATACAAAAAAGTGCTGTAGCCACAGCAGAAACACTGGGCTTGGACAGGCCTGCCAGTGACAAACAGAGCCCCCTAAACATCAATGGTGCTAGTTACCTGCGGCTGCCCTGGGTCAATCCTTACATGGAAGGTGCCACGCCAGCCATCTACCCTTTCCTCGACTCGCCAAATAAGTATTCACTGAACATGTACAAGGCCTTGCTACCTCAGCAGTCCTACAGCTTGGCCCAGCCTCTGTATTCTCCAGTCTGCACCAACGGGGAGCGCTTTCTCTACCTGCCGCCACCTCACTACGTCAGTCCCCACATCCCGTCGTCCTTGGCATCACCTATGAGGCTCTCGACGCCTTCTGCCTCCCCAGCCATCCCACCTCTCGTCCACTGTGCAGACAAAAGCCTCCCATGGAAGATGGGTGTCAGTCCTGGGAACCCCGTTGATTCCCATGCCTATCCCCACATCCAGAACAGTAAACAGCCCAGGGTGCCCTCTGCTAAGGCAGTCACTAGTGGTCTGCCAGGGGACACAGCTCTCCTGTTGCCTCCCTCGCCTCGGCCCTCACCCCGGGTCCACCTTCCCACCCAGCCTACTGCAGACACCTACTCTGAGTTCCACAAGCACTATGCCAGGATCTCCACCTCTCCTTCAGTCACCCTGTCGAAGCCATACATGACGGTCAGCAGCGAGTTCCCCACGGCCAGGCTCTCCAACGGCAAGTATCCCAAGGCTCCGGAAGGGGGTGAAAGTGCCCAACCAGTGCCCGGGCACACCCGGAAGACAGCAGTTCAAGACAGGAAAGATGGTGGTTCACCTCCTCTGTTGGAGAAGCAGACCGTTACCAAAGACGTCACAGATAAACCACTAGACTTATCTTCTAAAGTGGTGGATGTAGATGCTTCCAAAGCTGACCACATGAAAAAGATGGCTCCCACAGTCCTGGTTCACAGCAGGGCTGGAAGTGGCTTAGTGCTCTCCGGAAGTGAGATTCCTAAGGAAACATTATCTCCTCCAGGAAATGGCTGTGCTATCTATAGATCTGAAATCATTAGCACTGCTCCGTCATCCTGGGTGGTGCCTGGGCCAAGTCCTAACGAAGAGAACAATGGCAAAAGCATGTCGCTGAAAAACAAAACACTGGACTGGGCAATCCCACAGCAGAGGAGTTCATCATGTCCCCGAATGGGTGGCACGGACGCTGTGATCACTAATGTTTCCGGGTCAGTGTCAAGTGCAGGCCGCCCAGCCTCTGCATCACCGGCCCCAAATGCCAATGCAGATGGCACCAAGACCAGCAGGAACTCCGTGGACACCACCCCATCTGTCATTCAGCACGTGGGCCAGCCCCCAACCACGCCTGCTAAGCACAGCAACAGCACCAGCAGCAAGGGCACCAAAGCCAGCAACCCAGAACCGAGTTTCAAAGCAAACGAGAATGGCCTCCCACCAAGTTCAATATTTCTGTCTCCAAATGAGGCATTCAGGTCCCCACCAATTCCCTACCCCAGGAGTTACCTCCCTTACCCAGCGCCTGAGGGCATTGCTATAAGTCCCCTCTCCTTACATGGCAAAGGACCTGTCTACCCTCACCCAGTTTTGTTACCCAACGGCAGTCTCTTTCCTGGGCACCTTGCTCCAAAGCCTGGACTGCCCTATGGGCTGCCCACCGGCAGGCCAGAGTTTGTGACCTACCAAGATGCCCTGGGCTTGGGCATGGTGCATCCCATGTTAATACCACACACACCCATAGAGATCGCTAAAGAGGAGAAACCAGAGAGGAGGTCCCGGTCCCACGAGAGAGCCCGCTACGAGGACCCAACCCTCCGGAATCGGTTTTCTGAGATCTTGGAAGCTGGCAGCACCAAGTTACATCCAGAAGTCCCCACGGACAAGAACCTAAAGCCAAATCCCAGCTGGAATCAAGGGAAGACTGTTGTCAAAAGCGACAAACTTGTCTATGTAGACCTTCTCCGAGAAGAACCAGATGCTAAAACTGAGGCAAATGTGTCCAAACCTGGCTTTGTAGCGGAGACTGTTAGCCAGAGTGCTGAGCCCGCCAAGCCCCCAACTGACCCAGCTCTGCAGCAACACCGTGATTTCATCACCTTGAGAGAGGAGTTGGGGCGCATCAGTGACTTCCATGAAGCTTATACTTTCAAACAGGCTCCAGGCCAGTCAGTCTTCAGTTTAAACAAGGACAGTGTTCCGGCTGGTACCAACAAAGAGAACGTAGGGATGCCAGTCTCAACTCCATTCCTGGAGCCAACTCTGGGGAACGATGGCCCTACTGTAACTTTTGGTAAAACCCAAGAGGATCCCAAACCATTCTGTGTGGGTGGTACCCCCCCGAGCGTGGACGTCACCCCCACCTATACCAAAGATGGAGCTGATGAGGCGGAATCAAATGATGGCAAAGTTCTGAAACCGAAGCCATCTAAGCTGGCAAAGAGAATCGCAAACTCGGCAGGTTACGTGGGTGACCGATTCAAGTGTGTCACTACTGAACTGTACGCAGATTCCAGTCAGCTCAGCAGGGAGCAGCGGGCATTGCAGGTGAGCCCACGACCTGAATTTCAGTAACTTTCACTGGTTGTCAGTTTTTTAATGTGTAAAGAGGATTGGGGGAGTATGGTAGAGGACCAGGCAGATTGGTTAATGAAGTTTATGATAATTTGAATGTATGCAATGTGTCCAGTAAGGGAACGTGAGTGGTAGGACTTAGCTGTGTCTGGATACTTTAAGTTATTCTATAGATTATAAGAGAACTCCACTTGAATGGTAGTAACAGGAGTTTTAATTATTATGAAGGATATCTAAAGACTGCATGACGTTTACCTATCAAATGCTTTGATTTCTCTGCCTGTAAGATAAATATACCTAGAAGTGCTGCTTAGAATGTCTTACTTGATACTTACTTGGTGGAGATGTGTAGCAGCCGCATGTCTGTGGGTTTCATACAATTTTTTTTCACCAAAAAAAAAAAAAAAAAAAAAACCAATCCAAAAAAAGGAGAAAAAAGCTTGCTTAAAGGGATAGAGTATGTATATATAACTTGCTAGTGAATTATGATAGATGTTGTATAGGAATTTCCTTAAGATATTTTACTTTTAATTAAAAAATGAATAAAGCCAAATTGTTTTGCAATGTTAAGAAAAAAATTGGTTTATGCTTATAAAAATGGATGAAGTTATCTAAATGATCCATTGAGTGCCCATTTTAATTACATAGATGGAAGGATTACAAGAGGACAGTATTTTATGTCTACCCGCTGCTTACTGTGAGGTCAGTTCTTCAAATTTTTATTACTAGAATCTTACATAAACCTTTTGAGTTAAATTTCATTTCCAAATATACAAAGGGAAGTTTGTGGGCCATGGTCGTCTTTATTCATTGTGCATTTTGTTTCTTTTCTGTTGTGTTTTTGTTTTGTTTCCTTTGCGTTGTGTTTTTGTTTTGTTTTATTTACCTTCAAAAGAGAATGTCTGTCTCTATGCAATAGTGTATGTATGGATATACATACACACCGCATATATATCTTATACATATGACTTTTATGAATAAAGAATGTGTGACTACTTTACATATAGATACTCTTAAATTTAATCTGTTAAACTTTAAAATATCTGAGTTGCATCTCATAAATTGTGGTTGGTTTTGGGCAAACTTTTCTTTGAAAATACTTTCCTTTAAGGTAAGGCAAATGAAGTAGCTTTTATGGTAAGGTGTTGTTTTTTTTTCCATCTCCGTTCTCTTTCTAGCGTGCAATGATGCGCTTCTCAGAGTTGGAGATGAAAGAAAGAGAAGGTGGCCACCCAGCAACCAAAGACTCCGAGGTGTGCAAATTTAGTCCAACTGACTGGGAAAGGTTGAAAGGAAATCAGGACAAAAAGCCAAAGTCGGTCGCCCTGGAGGAGGCCATTGCCGACCAGAACGAAAGTGAGAGATGTAAGTAAACCCGAGCGCTTGCCAATGGTACCATGTTGGTTAGAATGGGGCAGTCCTGCTCCCAGAGCCCAGGGACATGAGAGAAAGCCATTCATTTAGGATGGCCTGAGGTCCAGTTGATGTCTGCTCAGAGAAATGGGCTGCTTTTGCCATCCATGGAGTGAAGGATTGACTGTCTTTTGAAGTTTGTGGCAGCCAGGAATGAGCCATCTGTGAAAGATAATTTCCTGGGACACACTTTCTTTTCCAAAGAAACATTGGTCCCATAGCTAGTAACAGTCCAATATAGTGTAGCAGAGGAATGGCAGTAGGAAACGTGTGTGGTAGGGTTGGGTTCTATTTTGTAGCAGTGGAATGATACTTTGTAGACATTTCCTCCCGGTCACCAGAGTGACAGTCTGAAATGGAATAGAGAGTACTTATTCTCCCTCTGGAGGCACAGGTTCTGTTGAAGTGGGAGAAAAGATGGTGAAGACACCATACAGATGAGCATAATCGTTTGCTATGTCTGGTTTGTTTGCCATTGTTGGAACTTGGCAACAATGGCAAGAATCCAGAATCCAGAAAAGCTTGGCATACACAAGGGGGGCTCTTCCCACCAGACAGATGGTGGTTTATGTTTTAGAGGTGAACTGTAGAGAGAAAGCTAGTGCCTTCCTCAAGTGCACTCTTCAGTCCCAACAGCTGACCCCCCACTGGGATAGACTTTTGGATTTGTCCATGAGACTTCTCTGGGGATAAGATGCGTTGACAGCAAGTGAAAAAGATCTTTTTCTTCATTTCTTAAATGTGCAAGCTTGAGGCCTGCTCTGGTCCTCAGAAACCTTTTTGGCAAAGGTGAATTAAGGTGTCTGGGTGAACCAGAGGAAAGAGTAGGTGCAAATCCTTCTAAGATAAGACACTTACAGATATTGGGTGCATTTGAGAGCTCTGTGCCATTGGCCATCATAGGTTTGGTATTCTTGATGCAGTTCATTGGCACCTGATGGAGTTTGGGGGAGAATTTGTGACCAGGGAAAGCGTGCTTCTTGCTGCCCAGAGCACACCGCCCTACCACTACTCTCAGCTCATCCTTGGGGGTCAGCCTAAGGCCACCAGCCAGGCTCCTAGGTAAGCTAAACCAGGACTGGCTTGTTGTAAGTTAGTGCTAAAGAAGATAGTTTCCGTTGCTAGTAAGTGGTGGTATTCTTGATGTACCTGAAGTTTCCTTACTCTATCTCAGAGGGTGGCTATGGGGCAATGGAGGGTCCCTGTCATTTTGGATAAAGCAAGAAAGAAAGCCTTCTTCCTCACTGATTGCTGCAGTCATGCAGCCCCCACTCATCCCTTCTGAGTTGCCTCATAACACTAGCTCTTGGGAAGGTTTCTCAGAGGTGCCTGGGAGAAGCAGGCAGGCAAGGGTGAGTTGAGGGGAAAATGCTTCTAGAAGAGGGGGACTGCTGCATATGGAAGTCCCTCTTTGTTCTGAGTGGATAGTGAGCAGGGCTGGAGGAAGGAACAGGAGGTTAGCCAGCTTCAAGTCATATTGCCTTTGCTCTGGTTTTTGAGTAACATGGCCAGACCCAGAGTGGCTACTGCCCTCCAGTTCATGTCTAAGTAGCCTCACCCCTTCCTGCTTCCCAGACAAGTTCGTGTCCTTCTCCATCTTTCCTGCTGAACCTAGAGACAGGATGGGAGCAGGCCCTGAGCCCCAGATGATTCAGAAAGGCCTCCCTTCCCCCTCCTTTTAAGCCCCTCCAAGCTTCAGACTAACAGGCTCTGTTCCTGGAGCACCCAGGACAGGACCCAGCAAGCCATGTGCTTATGCGTGATGAGCTGTGGCAGACAGAACAGAAGAAGGGTTGGGGAAGATGAGGGCTCATTTTTAAAGATTGTGGCAAAGAAAGAGTTGGGTTACCAATGGTTTGTGTTTGATCAAGAGGAATAGCCCAGAGGAATACTTGTCCTTGCTGCTGCCCCCCTGCCATCTCATCCAGGGGATAGCAGGTGCTAAATCCATTCAGCTGCAAATTAACTGGGCCCTCTTGGCCATCAGTCTGTCATGTGGGCTCAGGCCCTGCTCTGCATGGGTGTCACTGTGGCCAGGAGCCAAGCTGTGAGCATATGGGAGCTAGGGTGGGGATTTGGGGCAGGCAGGGGTCACAAAGAGGGTAAAGGACACCTCCTGGAAGCCTTTCCCCCTTCTGAGGCAGCCCTATGTTCCTACAGCGCCAATAACTTCTGAGATGGCAGGTGCCTTTTGCATAGCCTCAGCCGCCCAAGTGTGTGTGTCTCGTTGAAAGGAGCTCATTTAAGAAAAATGAATTAACTTGAATTAATCTTGACCATGGTCAAGATTTTCATTCACTCTTTATGGTACTATGGGTGGCTGAGTTAAATTTTCATTTGAGAAGTTGAGCAAATGAATTGGGAGGCTTCTCAAACTTGAAAGTTTATTAATAGAAACCATCAGTGGTATTTTGAAGACAGGCTAGGTCAAGGAGGCATTACTTTTATTGATTGATTGATTGATTTTTGTTGATAGGTATTGGATGTACATATTAACCCTTCCTTCTTGAACATGAGTTCTCTGTCTCCCTTGGCAGCCACTTTTGTAAACAACTTTGAGTTTAGAGCAGAGAGACAGCTACTGATGCCTCTGCTGGAGGTGATGTAGTTACCTACAGAAGGGATGGGTGTCATGGGGCCACCCTAGACAGTTACAGTCCTCTCCTATCTTGTCTAGGGCTCACTGGGCATGGCCACCACAGTGGTGAAGTTGCTTTGTTGCCACGGTGACTTGTAAATGTTGCTATGGCGATGCTTCTATGAGGTACTGCTATGACACAACCATGATAAATTATGGGATGTATGTGTTTTATGTCGTATGACCCTGTTGCAGGGAGCTAGTCTTAAACCTCAAACAACTCAGCCACATTCACATCTGCTTAGATCACGTGGCCAAGGGTACATGGCTTCCCGATTTTAGAAGGGCCGAAAGTAGCAGCGATGGTGGAGCCTAATGGTCAGCACCCTTATCTATCTCTGTCTATCCACCCATCTCCTTCACCCTCAAGGGTAATTTTTGTGGGTAGCAGTTAGAATAGCCCCAGTCAAGAAGGTCCAAGTCACAGTATACAGGAAGGTGGCACGGAGCCTCTCCCCTGTAGCTATCAGCTATATGTTTCTTGGGTGGTCAAAGTGGGTGTTCTTTGGGATTGCTACTGGCCATGAAGGTCACCCTAGCATAAGGTTTGAGGGATCTTCACTGAGGAGAATTGTAATCTTTGCCTTGAGAAGCTCTGGGCTTGGAGGAAGGAGGACGGGCCTAGTGTGGGAAAAGATGCTCTTGAGGGTGCAGAAGAAAGCAGCTACATACACCACGTGTGAGCAGCTGGGACTTCACCGAACCTCAATGTAGCAATGGAGAGTTCCTATTACTAGTTCAGGACTATTCAGTGGGCCACAGGCTCCCAGGCACAGGAGTGGCAGCCCTGGCTGAATGGGTAATGGTGGGGAGCAAGCTTGTGTGCCGTACACTCCTTGTCTTCCCCCACCAGCATCCCTGGGAATGGGGGAGCAGGAGTTGGTGTGTGAAGGGGAATTCTCCCCTAATTGGGCAGCTTTTCCCCTATGGGAAGCCCCAGGGGAGACAGATGGCAAGGCCCCCCCCCCCACCCACCCACCCAATGTCTCGTAGGGTGGTGCTCTTGTTCAACAAGGAACAGGGAGTTGAGGTCAATCACTGCCCTCTGAAACCAGCCAGCAAAATAAATTATCATGTCTTCCAGGAGGTTTTCTGTGGACAAAAGATGCCAGCAGTTTGGGCAAAAGGTCGGGTGGGTGGGATGTAAACTCATTTCACTGTTAGGAAGTTTACAGTAAGGGTGAGCACTTCAGTGGAAAACCTTGTCCTTGAGAAAGATGCCTTAGACAGGGTTGAGACTGTTAGAAATACAGGTGGCTATGAGACCGGGAGTTCAAGTGTAAAATGTGGAAGTTGAATCTGAAACACGAGTTGAGAGATTCTTAATCTGGGGGTGGGAGGACTCATCTGATGTGGGAAAGTTGGCAAGGCAGTTCATTATGGGTGGGGCCCCATGCTGGTCAAGCTGTTGCCTGGTTGTGACTCAGGAAGGCATTGTGACATCACCCAGTCACCTCTACTTTCAAACCACCTACTTTGAACCATCTTTCCTACCTTAAAGGGAAGAGGGAGCACACTATAAAAGTTTAAAAAGTACACTTTTAAAATTACACACGATGCTTCTTAAGCCATTTTTACATTTTTACACTGGGTCCCCCTCTCCCACAGGGCTTTTGGGAGGGGGTGGTGACTGGACCAGGGAAATCAAATGGTATACCTAGGGAAGTTCACATCTTAAAATTTCATAAATGTCAGGGCTAAAATTCAAGCTGGTCTGGGGGCTTAGCATCCTTTTGTAAGTAATTTCTCCAGCCTTTCCCTTTGCCGTGCTAAGCCTGTGTTTATGAAGCCCACCTGGGGAGGCAGCTTGCAGTAATGTTCCCACTTTACAACTGAGGGGGGCCGAGCTGTAAAGTGGCTCTGTTACTGCCAGAGCCGTTAAGAGGGTCACAGAGCAGCTCGAGTGACAACCCTCAGCCTGTCCTCTTAGCATCCCGAGGCCAAGCCAAGTGTGGTGGCCATATCATTGGCATGGTCTAGCACAGACCAGGGTTTGGGCAGCCTGCATGTTCTCTCCTGCTGCAGCTGTAATAGAAGACTCACCCTGGCTGTGCTTTTGGGTGTCTACCCAGTGCCAGGTGTATCTACAGAGACCTGGGGCAGTATTCCCTGGAGGGGGGTTGGGTGCCAAGACCCAGCCATTCTGGTCCATATGGTGAATGAGGATGGGGAGGAATGGCTGAGGAGATTCTGTCATTCCTTTGTAAGAGTAGATGCAGGCCCCTCTGTCCCTCCTTGGGGCATACTTGAAGAAGAGGTGAATAGGTCCATCATTGAAAGCACAGGCTTGCCAAAGCCAGGGTAAAGCTCACCCCTACAGCTGACTGCCACTAACCACTGGGAATGCCATTAAGAGGAGCTAATGAGGGTACTAGTGGGGCTGGTCATGAGTGGGAGTGACATTTGAAGTGGAGTGGGAGAGGAGGGATGAGGTCACGTGAGATGTGTGCCACTTCATCTAGAAGTTGACTTGTGCTACTCAGCTCAGTGTTACCAAGATCCTGGACTCATACCCCTGATGATATGCAGGGTCATTTTAGTGGGCCAAGGGCAAACACCTTAACCTCACAGTGGTCATTTAGTAGTTACTGTTTATATTTTATTGTATATTAGAAAAATTGTGACCAGCAAAGCAGTAAATGAGCTATTTCGTGGGATTAGAGCAAAAGTAGGAAGTGATGTTGGGCTGAGATGATTCAAGGAAAAGCCCCAATGTGATGCTAGGCTGAGCACAGGGTTCTGGAATGAGCAGTTTTGCAAGCATAGGCCTGGTGTAGAAAAGACATCTGCCAGTGAAGGGGGGATGGCATCTTGTCTGTAGATGCTTCCATGTGAACGCAGGTGTGAAGAGGAAGACTGCCAGCCAAGGTGACTAATGTCCCTGTGGGGTTCCCCCTATCTTGGACAGGAAATGGAAATAGACCCTTGATTTAAGTGATAAGCTTTTCCCTCCATATGTGTGCAGCCATCAGATTGAGTTCTTTGAAGTTGACTCTGAACTTTGGAAACCTTGTCCTTGGCCCTACCAGGCCTCTTTTCCCAGCACCCTGGGTCTGCCCATATCCCTTGTTTCCCTATCCCCATTTTGCAGGCAGTAGACATGGCCTGGACTGTAGGCCCAGAGTTCTCCAGGAGAGATAGTCACTTCTTCTCATCAAGGATCTAAGCTTGCTTTTGACGCTCTGTCTCCCGTCCCTCTTTCTTCATCATGTCTCCTGTTGGCCTAGGTGAATATTAGTTTATTCCTTCTGTAGATGAGATTTTTGGGGATGTTTGGTCTCTTCCATTTATTTCAAAATATTGACCTCAGCAAATTTAGGTCAGCCCAGGCTTGGTTGAATCTTGCTGCTAAAAGAGGTGACTACAGTGCTTTAAAAAATGATAATGTTGACACTTCATCTCCTTTCTTGCTTTCCTCATACCCCCAACTATAAAAAGGTAGGAGAAAGTTACAAGTATGGTCTATGCCTTACTTTCTGTTTTACTTGCCCGTTGTCTTCAGTGTGCCCTTATTTTGGAAAGTTCTAGTTTGAGGGTTTTGTGCTAACAATGTGTGATGACCCCAGTCTCCAAAGAAGGGTCTCTCAATAGCAGATTACCTTGGGCATGGTGGTCCCACCTGCTCCCTGAATCCTGCCTTCTCATGGTGGCCTGTGGACCCTCACTTAAGTATTCTTGTCTCCCTTCCTCCTAGGCGACTATAGTGCCGGAAATAAACACCATGATCCCTTTGAAGCCCCGGAGGACAAAGATCTTCCTGTGGAGAAGTACTTTGTGGAGAGGCAGCCTGTGAGCGAGCCACCCGCAGACCAGGTGGCTGCGGACATGCCACACAGCCCCACCGTCCGGCTGGACAGGAAACGCAAAGTCTCAGGTGACAGCAGCCACACTGAGACCACTGCGGAGGAGCAGCCAGAGGACCCTCTGCTAAAAGCCAAGCGAAGACGAGTCTCCAAAGGTGAGCTCGGTCGGCTTCGGCTGCCTGCTTGGGTGGGGGGTGGGAGCCTTATGCATGCAGCCTCTGTGGACGGACAGGAGGTATGGATGTGCGGTGCGCTGCCCCATAGTCAGTTGGTGAGGGGAAGCTGTGGGGCACAGCAGTGGGGCGTTTCCATTCCCACACCGCCTCCATGAGATTCCCATCCTGGAGCCCTGGGGAAGCCAATCACACCTCCCCTCCTCCCAAAGCCAGATGCAGGCGCTCAAGCCCAGGGATGGCCAAAGACAAATAGGCCCCCTCCCAAGACGTGCTCAAGCAGAGACAGTGACTGTACCCCTCCCCCTCACCCCACCCCATTAGTGATGCATAAGACAGTTTGTTCCCCCCAGGGGGCTTTTTGATTAATTTGTAGTTATTTCTCCATTAGATGACTGGCCTGAGAGGGAAATGACAAACAATTCCTCTAACCACTTAGAAGACCCACATTATAGTGAGCTGACCAACCTGAAGGTGTGCATTGAATTAACAGGGCTCCATCCTAAAAAACAACGCCACTTGCTGCACCTTAGAGAACGGTGGGAGCAGCAGGTGTCGGCAGCAGAGAGCAAACCTGGCCGGCAAAGCAGAAAGGAAGTGACCCAGGTGGTTCAGCCTGAGGTTACTACCCAGGGGAATAACATCACCGAAGAGAAACCTGGCAGGAAAAGGGCAGAGGCCAAAGGCAACAGAAGCTGGTCGGAAGAGTCGCTCAAATCCAGTGACAATGAACAAGGTACGTGGAGGCCACCCCTTGACTGCCCGCCTCGCTCCTGGAGGGTGGGTCATTCACTCGCCGTAGGAAAGGGCTTTTGAGGGGACCTTAGGCTATGCTGGCTCTAAGATGTGGCAGGAAGGGAAGCGTGGGTGGCCCTGGGCCCCTACCAGCACCCTCATTCCAGCCTTGGGCTGTCTCTAGTCACTGAGTCCTGAGCACCCAGTCTGGTCTTCCTTGGGAAGGCTCTTACCCTGAGGCCCAGTGGGTGGGTGGGTGGGGGTGGGAGAGCAGGAATAGCAGGCTTCTGTCCTCTTGTCCTGGCCTTTTGAAGAAATTTGCCACTTGGCGATTTGTGGGTTAACCTATTTGCCATTTGAATGTGGGATAATTAAAATATTAATGCTTTGAAAACATAATTGGTATATCTTTAAAAACTGAAGCCGCTCCAGTGATCAGTGTTAACAATGGGCTTTTCTTTTTGCACCGGCTACAACTGTGTAACGCCTGCTTCTTCTCCCCCTCCCTCTCACCCGCCCGCCACCCCGCCACCCCCTCCGTATTTAGGCTTGCCTGTGTTCTCCGGCTCTCCGCCCATGAAGAGTCTTTCATCCACCAATGCAGGCGGCAAAAAGCAGACTCAGCCAAGCTGCACGCCAGCCTCGAGGCCGCCTGCCAAACAGCAGAAAATTAAAGAAAGCCAGAAGACAGATGTGCTGTGCACAGATGAAGAAGAGGATTGCCAGGCTGCCTCCCTGCCACAGAAATACACCGACAACAGTGAGAAACCATCCGGGAAGAGACTGTGCAAAACCAAGCATTTGATACCTCAGGAGCCCAGGCGGGGGCTGTCGCTGACGGGGGACTACTACGTGGAGAATGCTGATGGCAAGGTACCTCCTGACCCCTGCTCCCCCCTAGGCCTGTGCAAGCACATACCTCCTCCCCACTTCTCTGCTTCTTGGGGCAAAGCTTTCCTTTTTCTGGACTCTTGCCCCACATCACATGTCACCCCCCCTGTCCTAGAAGAGCATGTCTTCTGGGTGGCAGCAAAGTTTCAAACTAGTAAGAATGAAACCCCTTTCCACAACCCTCTTTGACAGCCCTCCCCTCAGCCCCACAAAGAAAAACGAGGGGAAAAGTGCCTTCCTCCACACAGGCTGGTCACACAGGGAGGAGGGGAAGCAGTGGTATTGGAAGGACACAGCCTGAACTATGCGCGCCACCTGGTTTTGTGATAGATGACTGTCCGGAGATTCAGAAAGCGGCCTGAGCCCAGTTCGGACTACGATCTGTCACCAGCTAAGCAGGAGCCAAAGCCCTTCGACCGCTTGCAGCAACTGCTACCAGCTTCCCAGTCCACGCAGCTACCACGCTCAAGTTCCCCTCAAGAGACCACCCAGTCTCGCCCGATGCCGCCGGAAGCACGGAGACTTATTGTCAATAAGAACGCTGGCGAGACCCTCCTGCAGCGGGCAGCCAGGCTTGGCTATGAGGTGAGTGTCCCTCTGGGTGCTCCTGGAGTGTCTATGTCAGTGTCCCTGTGGCTATGCCAAGTTGGGGGGCAAGGCACAAGGGGGGGCAGGGAGGGACTTGGAGAGCAAGGCCCAGCCCCCTCCACAACAGGGGGCTGGGCTGGTGTTCCAGCAGGGTGTTTGTGTTAGCCACACTCTTCGCTGCTGTCTCTTTGGTGGCTTGTTCAATCGCGGTGTGAAAAGAAAGGCCTCTCTGATGTTCAGTTCGTGTTCAGGCAGGTAGGCTGCTTCGGCATCCTCCAGTCTTGTTCACTTATCTCTGATATAAAATCTGACATAACCCAGGGCTTGGCGACTGGGGGAATTTTAATGAGCCCTTTTGGATTCTGATTAGCAAGGGGGAGAGAAGTCAGGAGCTCTATCCGAGGTTGCCGTTGCCGGTGCTGTTGCAGGTGGAGGGATGGCCCCGTTTGGGGAGCTAGTGGGAAGTGGCTGTGCAGGGCGGGTGCAGGTGTGCACTAAGGTTGGGGGGGGGGCGGACCTGAGTGGTCTCTTTCCAATAATAAAGGGCAGCGTGGCCCTGAGACTGGAGGTTGGAGGAGGGACACAGACTCAGGCTTTTCCCCAAACTTGCTGGCTGCCCCCTTGTTGGTTCCCCTTCCCGGCATGGTGAATGACAGTGACAGCTTATTGGCTGAGCACTCTGCGGTGTAGTCTTTCTACTTCTTTGAAGTAACTCATTTTACCCTTTCATTGTCTTTGTGTGTTAGTAACTGGTATTATGCCTGCTTTCAGATGAGGAAACTGAGTCCCAGAGGGGTTCAATGACTTGGATAGATAACAATCCAGCAGCCTGGCTCCAAAGCCCAGCCATACCCCTAAACCCCCTCCTCTTCCGGACTGGCTCACTCCAAATCTCCTTGAGACAGATGACTCCCTCTGCCCCTGTGCATCCCCCACCACACTGTTATCAGTTGAAATTGTGATGTAATAGCCCATAGGGCAAAGGCTTTTTTTTATGCTGGCATCAGCCCTCTGGGAGTTGAATGGTGAAAATAAAATGTGGCTGGGCAAGCTGAGTGTGGAGGTGTGGTGGAGCACCGAGGTGGTAGGATCCATGCTGGCTCTCACTCAGCTGTGAGCTCCCAGGATTTGGCCAGAACCCTGGCTCGCACAATTTGACCTTGCTGCTGTCTTTTGTGCCTTGAGCCCTTCCTAGTGGGACCACCCAGCTTTGGTCTCCCATTGACCCAGACCCCAGCCCTGAGGCATGACTGTGTGGAAAGGAACTTGGACGTTTGCTCACACCTGTGGGATGGTCCTTTGTAGCACTATAGGGGGGTATTTTGGGTTGTATGTGCGGTTGTTTTTGTTTTTTCGTACCAACATATCTCTTTTTGACATCTGGATTATGGTGGGGAGAACTCTTTAGAAGGATTTGGTAATTAGCTCAGTTACTTGCAGATTAAATCCAAGTGGCAGCTAGTTGGTTTCCCACAAACTGAGAGCCACAGCACCTAGCAGGACAGGATAAATGCAGCGTGCCAAGCAGGGCTACTCATTCCTGATCACGGTTGAAAAAATAGACTTGTGCTTCCAACAAACGCCAGAGATGACAGAGGCAGGAGGGCAGCGTGCTCCGCTGGCTGTAGAGGGCAAGGTTCCTGGCCTCGTCTTTCATTTTGGCATATTTCCATCAGTCTCACCCCTTTGGGACCAGGAACATCAGGAGACCCTTGGAGACTCTTGTACGTCCTCCAAGAAGCCTTGGGAATGTTTTTGTAAGAACAACTTTTTTCCCCCCTTTAAATGATGTAAATTTCATAGGTCATCAGTTGTGATACTGAATGTTTTAATTACTAGATGAAAGCTTTCAACTTTGAATCCAACTTTCTGGGATTTCTTTAAGAAAATTTAAAATGTTGGGATGATAGGCCATTAAGATATGGCAGTTTAAACCTTTTAAAATGGAAGGATAATTTGCTTAAAGTGGAAGGATAATTTGCTTAACCCAGGCAAGATGCAGTTTGAATGCACAATTTTGGGAGGGTTTTCCTGAAGTTAGTCTTCACTATTGTTGTTTCCTGCTTAGCTGAAGATAACATATGCAATGAAAAAGGCCATCTGAGCTTTGTTTTGTGTTAATCTGTTTCTTGAGGTTTAGAAACACGCTGTCTCTTCAGATCTGTATTAGACCACCTGAATTGAAAGGCTAGATACATGCAAACCTTTCCCTCTTGGTAAAGAGGCTTCTGTTTCTTAGGCTTAAATGCCAATGTGGAACCACATGCTTGTGCATTTAGTGGTGATGGTTAAATTTTCTATGAATTGAATAAATCATGTTTTTAAAAAAGTTAATGAGGCATTTAATTAATTAACAATGTCGGGTTTATGGCCTTTATAGTTACATTTTGCAGTTAATGGCATTCAGCTTATAGCCGCTTAACAGAGAATTGTCCAACAAAAACAGTTTGATTTTGTTTGGGAATGGGCGGGCTGCCCTTCAAACACTCCCATTTCTAGCATAGAAAATAAACCAAGAAATGTGTTGGGTAGACAGACTTTTCCGGCCTCTTTATTCTTTCTGTTGGTGACAGCAGTTGCCACCCACTTAAGAGGCCATCACCCTCCTCACTAGGAGAGTGTCATTAGCTTGCTTTACCCCAACAGATAGGATCCGAGGGATACTGGTCATGGCTGGATTGCAGCTGCCTAGCCTGGGCTCTTTGGAATCTTCCCAGCAGACCAGGTACCAAAAGACCTGAGTTATAGGCCTTCATGCTTGGGATTTAACTTCTCTTGGCGTCAACTTCCCCAGGTGTTGAATAAGAACAGTACTACTTTCTTTTCCTGATATCTCATAGGTTGCTGTGGGGTAACATAAGACCTACACATTTGGCAAAGTGTGAAGTACCATGCTAGCCGTGGCAGAAAGTCTCATCTGCTTGTCAGGTCACTACTGCCTTGCCTGCCATCCTCGAGGCAAAGAGAGTTGACTTACCCTTCAGCTTCGACATCTTTCATTTCTAGGTTCCCTCAAATCAGCCCTAGTAGCTACGAAGGTTTCCAGGTGAAGGCCGTAATTGTCAGAGCAAATAAACCTTGGGTTGATAGGACACCAGGCAGGCCACCCGGATCCGGGTAAATTGATCTGTGCACAGCAGTCGGTGGCGCTTAGAGCTGATCCCAGAGTCACGTGATGGGGCCTCTCCCTGGCTGGGGCACACAACTCATTAGCTTGCAGCCATCCACTCGAGTCTGGCTAGTGAGGGCCTGCAAAAAGAGCAGCAGCTTCATGCGGTATCCTGGATACCAGTGCTTAGGGCAGGTGGCCTGGGAGCTCTGAGGATTGTGGGCTTTCTGGCAGGTTAGGACCTGAAGGATGAAACGCTCTGTGGGCATGCCTTCTCTCTTCCTCCCCTTATTTTAGAAGGGAGCTGCTACAATGACCTGAAGCAACAGGGCACGGATGGCCAGGTTTACCAGTGTGTACCCTTAGATTTGCAGGGAGAACATATGGAACATTCTAGTTAGCACCCAATTGAGTGATCACCTTTAACGGAGGTGTCCTATAAAGGACATAAAAGGTTTTTCAGAACTCACCTCACGTTTATGGGTGGCTACAGTGCTGCCTGTTTTAGGTTTAATAGATGAGTTATTTAAGAGTTGTCAGGAAGGGATGCCCACTGTGACCCATCTCGTTCCCCCTTACCAAGTGACCCATGTGGTAGGCCACCCACCCACTCTGCCTGCCTCCAGTTCTCAGCTCTGCTGGGCATGACTTGTAAGAAAACAGGGTAACCTATTTTCTGGTGGCAGATACAGTTCTATGTGTTTGAAAACTTTCTTAATCAAGGTAATAAAACATAGAATAAATTACTGCTCTGCTTACTGGGAGTGGTTCATAGCAATATTTTAACACGCCAAAGAAGTAAGATAAATAACACTGATTCTCATGCAAACTGTTGACACAGAACATGTTCTGCAAAGGGGGAAGGGTAGGCTTGTCTTATTTCGTTCTGGAAATGTGTAGGTTGTAGTCTTGGTATATCAGATTCCTGTCATTAACTTAAGTAAATATGAAAATATTATATTGATTCAGCCCCAAGTCGGGTGGAGAGTGAAGCAATACGAGGGTGGGGTTATTTGAAACATTTATGTCATTTCTTGATGATATACATGGTATGTTGAAAGAGCCTCCTCTTGAGCTCTACTTCACAGCAGAAGCATGGCCACCCCAGCTCTGACCCCTGGTCTTCACCAAGGGCATGAGGACCAGCCTAAACTCCTGGACATCCCTCCCTTGCTTAAGTTGAGAAATGTTCTCCAGCTCATTTAATTTCTTGTTATGCATCGGTTGTTCTTGCTTTTATCTAAACTTGTGTTGTCATCCACTATTACCTATTGAATGAACCGATTGAGTGAGAATGCCCTTCTACTTATTAATGCATCGTTTGAATACTGGCAGTTGGATCCCTCTGTGCTCATGATGCAAAGCACTGGGCTAAGGGCTTTTGTGAGTCTCTAATTGCATCTTCTCAACAGCCCTATGTAGGTGCTGTTACTCTCCCCCAGCAGAAGAGATGGAGGCTTTGGAGGAGTTACAGCATAACCCACCTAGAGCCAGGCAGTTGGGGCATCAAGAACCTTAAAGGACACTGTCTCTGTCTTCAAGCCCTTTGCATGTGCATTTGCCTCTCATTAAGACATCCACAGCCTGCCTAAGCTGGGTTCTTCGGCCTAGGGTCATATGTCTTTGAAAACTAGCAAGAGCTCCCCCTTATAAGGTCATTATGCAGTGATCTGATGGCATTCCTCCTCCTCCCCACAGGAAGTGGTCTTGTACTGCCTGGAGAACAAGATTTGTGATGTGAACCATCGAGACAACGCAGGTTACTGTGCCCTACATGAAGCTTGTGCTAGAGGGTGGCTCAACATCGTGCGACACCTCCTTGAATATGGCGCTGATGTCAACTGCAGTGCCCAGGATGGAACCAGGTCAGTGGTGTGTCTTGCTCTCAGCCTGGCCCTGCTGGGGCATAGGCAGTGGTTCTCAGGGTATGTGGTAAACCCCAGGAGGGAAGACCAAGAGTGACATGTAAGCACATTGATGGCTGAGTCCTCTATAATTGAATCCAAAAGACCTTTCTGGCAAATGTAGATATAAAGCTCCCAATCTTGGCCAGTCCTGTAATGCTCCTATGGACCAAAGCCTCTGAAAATGTCGGCTTACATGAGTAAGTGGGAATAATTATAATGAATAATTAAGACCCTGGACTCTTAATCACCATCTGTGAAATCACTATATTTAAAATATATGTGAGTTGAAAATCGCAGGAGTATAGACAGAAGACCTGCTGTCACCACCCACATCCCCAGCCCTGGCCCTCTCCCTGTCCTTGACCCTGGTTTATTGGTCAGAGACCCAGGTCTGAGGTAGCCCAAGCACCTTCCTGGTTGTGTGAGTGGGATGCTGCCAGGGTACGGGGTTTTTCTGACAGTGATAAAAATAGCCAAACAGAAATGTATTTGGCACCCTTGTGACACCCCAAGCTTGTATGGAAAAAAAAGGATAAAAAAATTTATATAAAAAATTTAAAGAATTAAAAAAATACTTAAAAAAAAAACAACAAAGAAATGTATTTGGTCTTTCACACTTTCTAAATGGCATTCTCTGCCCTCTGTGGACACAGGTGGGGGGAGGGGCCTGTGCCCTCCTGAGAACACACCCCACAGGGCCCTCTTTCTTCTCCCCACTGTTCCCTCAGCTTTAAAGGGTTAGCTATCAAAGTAGCACAATAAGTTGTTGTTTGACCTTGAGCTAGTCACTATATCTAAGTTTCCCTGTCTGTGTGGTGGTGGTGATAGTACACTCCTCTTGGATGAAATACTGCACCTAAGAGGCTCAGTACACAAGGTACACATACCCAGATTGGCCTGTTGGCATTACAGGAGATGACTTGGAAAGCAAGCAGTGAGCTTAACCCCACTGCACGTTTCTCCTTAGGCCACTGCATGATGCCGTTGAGAACGATCACTTGGAAATTGTCCGCTTGCTCCTTTCCTATGGTGCTGACCCCACTTTGGCTACGTACTCAGGTAGAACCATCATGAAGATGACACACAGTGAACTTATGGAAAAGTTTTTAACAGGTACGACAAAGTTCAAGAAATGGTCTTATTCAAAAATTAGATGGTAACTAGGTACTTTCGATTTGGATTGGACTAGGCAGAAATCAAAAAGGCTGGAATTTTGAAGCTTTGGAGGAGAGCAGCCAGGCCTTTGGCCTTTTGTATGGTGTAACTTTATTCTAGTGAAGCCAAGTTATTTATTTACCTTAATGTTTTAAAAGATTTCCTAAAGTTATTTGCATTTTCTACAAATGCATTTTAACTTAAGTATGGCTCATAGGTTTACATCTCAAGTCTGGGTGAAATGAGTCAGACCTCCCATACATGAAACTATTTGGGTAGGTCTGTAGTGTTTGGTCATCGGATAACCCATCGTTTAAGCCCCAGGCATTACAAGATCCCTAAAGCAAAAGCACAAGGTTTTCCTGCAGTTATACTCCTTATCAGAAACTGCCAAAGAATGCCACTAAGTCACTCGTGACCCATCCTTGTTTACTTTAAGTTGCATTTATTGGGAAAGAGATATGTAAGCACAATGCTACTTTATTTTTGTGTATGAGGACTTGCCTTCTTAGCTTTCCAGTCTAGCTTTCATTTTGGTGGGATGGTATTCTGTCTCTCAGGAAGGCCAGTGAACAGTTAGGTAGGTTTCAGTTAGTTAGGTAAGGCAGAGAACAATGTTTTGGCAAATTGCATTGATGATGTGAAGAAAGGAGAAGATAGGAAGTGACGTGCCAGCCTGTCATGAATTTATAGGAAAAATGCCCTCTAACTCTGCCATTATTTTGTTCTCACCAGTAGGTTTTATCTTTTTTTTTTCTCCTTTCTCCAGATTATTTAAATGACCTTCAAGGTCGCAGTGATGATGACTCCAGTGGCTCTTGGGAGTTCTATGGCAGCTCTGTGTGTGGTGAGCAACGTTGTTCTCTTTAGCTCAGTGGGAAATGAATGAGTTTGAGTACATTTCTCTCTGGTGTGGGTGAGGGGAGGCAGGTGGTTGACTCTGGGAGCAGCAATCAGTTGGGAAGTGTCTTGATATTTAGAGTCCCCCTTTTTCTTGACAGCAGCTGAAATCTTTCTATAGCTTACTGATCCCTTTTTCTCTTATTTTCCCTCCATTAGAACCCGATGATGAAAGTGGCTATGATGTTTTAGCAAACCCCCCAGGACCAGAAGACCAGGATGATGATGACGATTCCTATAGTGATGTGTTCGAATTTGAATTTTCAGAAAGCCCCCTTTTACCGTGCTACAACATCCAAGTATCTGTCGCTCAGGGGTGAGCATGGCTACCATGTGGTCAGAAACTAGCTTGAGCTGTTCTTGGGGTGTCAGGAGTTAGAGATCCCCCTTAAGTAGATGAGGGTGGGTAGGTGGATGAGTGAATTCCTTATGTATCCATAAACCTCACATAATGCAGTAGATCTTTTTCAGAAAGGGTACGTATCAGCTTAATTACACCCAGAAGAGTGAAGGGGTGGGGCATCAGAACACCAAGTCTTAAGTCACTCTCCAGAGCCCAAAGGGAATTAAAGTCTGTGACCAGAATTTCACAGGAAGGTCACCATCATCAGTACCTAAATACTTTGGGTAGGGGTCCTCCCTAGGAGTCTCCCCAGCAAGCCACTGTAGGGGCCTTCAGGGTATTTGAGGTGTACGAGACTATACTGATATATCTCCTTCTCATGTAAGATTAGGACAGTCATTATACATGACACTTGGGATCTTGGTGTGTCATCAGATTTGCTTAGATCAAGTCTTGCCCCTATGGTCAGGCCACTATACCCTAGTGACCAGTCACTTTAGGTGTACTTGTCAAGAGACTGCACTCTGCCATGTGTTAACAAAGGTGTTGAGTGAGTAACATCCTCCTCAAGCTCTGAGTGTAGTAGGGCATATGCAAGGTATATAACACCTGCCTTCTTTCAGTTGGTACTCCCGAAAGAATGGAGGGATAGCAGTGGAGCTGCCTGAAAGGAAAGGAGAGGCAGCCTTCTGTGTTTATAATGCTCTGTTAGTGAGTGTCTGAAGAGAGGAGAGATCCAAGAGGTTGAGATACAGACTTGTTTCCCCCAGTGACTATAGTGGGGCACTTGGAGAGGTGCAATCCAAGTTGCAGCAAGAGCTGAATGAGCAGGACTTTACCATCAGCAAGGGGAGCAGTGAGGCTAATTCAGATTGTCCTCCCTGGTTGTTCTCTTAATAAAACCAGATGAGTCCAGAGTTTCTACAGCTAGAGGTAGATACTTTCCCTCACCTTAGAAGGAAAGGGTGGTCAGAGAGTAGGTATGTATGGTGAGAAATAGGGAAGCAGGGACAAAGTGAAAGTAATTGGCCCTTGTTACCCGACCTAGGGACTGGTCTAGTCAGGGTGTAGTAGTTAATGGGGGCACTTCTCATTTTGCTAGAAACTCAAACCATTTTCCTTTCCATTTTTTAGGCCACGAAACTGGCTACTACTTTCAGATGTGCTTAAGAAATTAAAAATGTCCTCCCGCATATTCCGCTGCAATTTTCCAAATGTGGAAATTGTCACCATTGCAGAGGCGGAATTTTATCGGCAGGTTTCAGCAAGTCTTTTGTTCTCTTGCTCCAAAGACCTGGAAGCCTTCAACCCTGAAAGCAAGGAGCTGTTAGATCTGGTGGAATTCACGAGTGAGCTTCAGACTCTGCTGGGCTCCTCTGTAGAGTGGCTCCACCCCAACGACGTGGTCTCGGATGACTACTGGTGAGCACGCCAGACCCGCCGTGTACAGTGTGTTATAGTGTTAATCCTTGTGCATATGTGTCATAATACGACTATTTCTGTAAAGAAAGGACACTATTACATATGAAAATATCTCTTCTTTATATAAGAGAAATTACTCCAGTCAGAAGGACGTAGAAACATGTTTTGTTTTTTTTTTCTTTTTAAACTTTTAAGTCAGTTTTTATGAAGTTGTTATAATGTTTCTTTACATTTCGATGCACACATGCTTTGGGATATGTTTGTTTTTACTTGGAATATTTGTTTCTTTTCTTTTTTAAGGAGAAAAAAGTGAGGAAAGGAACTCTACACTTTGACTTAATTTCATACAAAACTCTGATGACAGAGGCCATTAACTGTGTAAAGTGTGGCCAGAACCATGTGGTTGGTTTGGGGGAGTGAATTCGGTGAAGGCACTTGGTGATGTTGTAACTTTATGTTTTGTTTACAGAGTACCTGCTCGGGCCAGGTAAATGCTATTGGATATAATCCAGTAGTGTGTAATATAAATTCAAACCATATCCACACACAACAACTAATTGTATGAAACTTTTATATCCTAATTTAAAAGCTGTGAAATTAGTTTTCACGCATCAAACCGGATTGTTTATATGTTTAAACATTTTATGCTCTTATTTAAAGAAGACTTTGAGCTATTTTTTTCTGTACCCTGTAAAATATTGAAAACTAACATAATATGTTGAGGTTGCTTGGAAATGTACATAAAACTAAAATTTTCTGAATTGTGTGTTTATGTTTGAAATCTGTGTTTTAACTTTGTAAGTAAATTCTCTGCCTTTGTATTTATATTTTACAAAAATTTTCTTAAAAGGCAATAAACCTGTTGAGGAAAGGAGAAAAGTGAAGTACCTTGCATCCTATGTATTCCTAAAGCATTATTGTTGTCACTGATTCTTTTGAAGTGGTGTTGATGATCTATTCCCTATAGATAACTTTAGAGCAATTTATAGTCTCCATGAACCAAACCAGACTGGAGGATTTTGGAAGAATTATACTCAATATGATTTGGAGGCCTATTCTGAAAGCCCAATTCTTAGACATATGCTTTCCTGTCTCATATCTTCTTGCCTGTCTCCTTTGATGGCCCTGGCAGGCTTTTGTGTTGCCCTTGGCATTGACCTATACTACAGTCCTACAGGAATGATCAACTCTTTATCTTTAAGAGTATGTTGTGTCACTGCTCCACACCTCCTATTTTTCTGTTACCTTGAGGATCAAGTCTAAGCTTGCTTTGCCTGATAGTTGAAGCCTGTAACTTCAACCTCTCCACTGCTCTTAACTATTTCCAGCAGTACCTGCATTGAGTACTGTCAGTTGGCACTTGATTTTCATCTTGCATCCTTTTATGCCTGTCCTTCACTGCAGAAGGTAGAAAGCTAAAAACTACTTGACTCCCTTGCAGCTAGCCTTCTGTGTGCATATATGTTTCGGAAGTCTGCAGGAGGTAGAGGCACCTTTCTACTACAGTGGCTGCTGATAAGAAAGTTGGGAGAGACATGCTAACCAGTTGGAGTGACTAGATCAACATTCCAGTATCTGGTCCTCAGCTTTGTGGGTGATGAGATGCAGTAGTGGTTGTGGCCATGGCAGCTTTCTACTCCTTGCATGACAACCTCAGCAAATTGATCTTGAATCCCTTGGTTCCAGAGTTGTCCCATTCCTCCAGCCCCTCCAGAGACCTTGTGAGTCATTGTATCAAATCCATTTGTACTCAGAATGAATGCCCTGAGTGCTTCCCAGTCCTGCATTGAACACTGAGGGTGCCAAAGCAGAGGGAAGGAGGCCATGGGGATGCTATATTTGAGTATGTGGACAGAGCGGGAAGGCAGATGAGGAAGGGGCCAGCAAACATTGGCCTGACAGGAAAAGCAAGGCATGGTTGGCAACAAGGGAATCCAGCCTGATCAGACAGCTCCATGTGAGAAGCGTGAAGCCTGAGAGCCCTTTGTTGGGGAAGACTGGGTACCAAATGTATTTTGGAGTGTATCCTGAAAACCAGAGGCAGCTAACAAGTTTTTTTTAACTTATTAATTTTTTATTATAAGAAAAAACTTTCACTGTAGAAAGAAACAACCCAAGCATGTCAGAAATAGAGAACATTCTTATCATCCCATGCCAACACCTCTCCCCTACTCCAGAGGTAACCACTGTTAATAGTTTAATGAATTTTTGTTTTTTAGGAAGTCACCTCCAACAGCAGGTGGGAGTGGTGAAATGAAAAAAGCAGATAGCAAGACCAGAAAAGCAGACCTGCAGAAATAATTTAAGTAAAAGGACTGGCGAGCCTGAACTACGATAGGCAACAAGGGGCTCCCGGGAGCCCAAATTAAAAAAAATAACAAAAACTCAAGGGCATTCGGCTCTTTGTATTTGGGCTGGAGGCAAAGGGAGGGCCCAAGGCCAGTTGAGGTTTCTATCTTGCATGAAGGTCATTCTGTTAATTAAGCTAAGAAAACAAGAGAGCCATGGATGTAGGGGGGTGCAGGAGAGGTAATGAGCTTGGTTTAGGAGGCATTTAAGGTTGTTGTTCATGCAGTTGGAGGAGCTGGTAGACAGTTCGAAAGATTTACTGCAAGACTCATTAGAGTGATTGAAAACATGGATGTAGAAGAACTAGCCGGGGGTATATGGAGGTATAGATGAAACCACCATGGCTGAGAAAGGTTTGGGTGCAAAAGAACTCACCACCCCTGCCTAGACACTCTCCGCGGGTATAGAGGAGCTCACCACGGAAGTAGAGGGGATCATGGTATGTACCAGGTCACACGGGGTGTGGGGGTGGGGCAGTGCTCACCACCAGAGTACAGGGAAGCTGTGTGTTTAGGGGGACTCAGCATCAGTGGAAAAGAGCTCTCCACAGGTGTGGAGCTATCATGGTATACGTGAGATCACCCTGGGTGATCTCTCCACAGGTGTGAGGGAGATCTACTGGGGGTAGACAGCTCACCCTGGGGGGACGGGAGTTCACCATGGGTGTAGAGGAGACCATAGGCCTGGATGAGAAACTCATCGTGGGTTCAGAAGAACTCAGCAGGATTGTAGAATAGGTGCTCATAGAGCCAATCTGCGTAGAGGCCCTCACTTTGGATGTAAAGGAATTCACCATTGGTATAGAAGAATTCATCTGGGGTTCGACACGGGTGCAAAGGAGCTCATGGGGAGAGAGCTGAACTGGCTCATTGAACTCCTGAAGGTGTCCCTGAGGGTCAAGGGCATGCCCTTCTTTGCCCTGTCCTCCCTCTTCCTGGCTAGAATGTGGCTGTGACAGCTCCAGCTAGAGCAGCCACCTAGGACCATGAAGTATGGAGGTCAAACACTGCAGAACAACCAGCTGGAAGGAGCCTGGGTCCCTGAGGACCTAGTAGAACTGAGCTACCGTATCAGCCCTGCCCTGCCTGCGTTTATGTTTGAGAAAAATAAATTATGTTGAAGACACTGTTATTTTGGGTTTTCTAACTACTCTACCCAAATCTAATTTTAATATGCCTCCCATCTGTGAACTCAGGCAGATTACTTACCCTCTCAGTCTTTTCCTGTTTTGTCGAAATTGACCTAATGGTTGTAATAGCAAAAAACTGAAAACAACCAAATCTCCATCAGTCGGGCACTAGTTGAATTAACAATGGTATTCGCATATGGTGGAATACTATGCAACTGTAAAAAGAATTGAGGAATAGTTCTAAATTGCTTTAGTGTGATCTCCAGAGTATTATCATTAACTAAAAAAACCAGTTTGAATTAAAGCGTATACATGTATCTGCTTTATTTTTAAAATGAAATAAGAAAACCTAGTTCAAAAAATGGTTACCTTCGGGGATAGAGTGAACAAACTACAAGGGAAAGGGATGGAATCTTAGTTTCTCTGAATGTTCCCAGAGCAGAGATTTGACTTTAGAGTTTACAAAATTACAAACCCAAAGCAATACCTATAAATAAAAAAGTAAAACTGGCCAGGCCTGGTGGCTCATGCCTGTGATCCTATTACTTTAAGAGGCCAGGGCAGGAGGATGGCTTGAGACTAGGAGTTTGAGACCAGCCTGGCCAACATGTGAGCCCTGTCTCTACAAGAAATTTTAAAAATTAACTGAGCGTGGTGGCGTGCACCTGTAGTCCCAGTTACTTAGGAGGAGGCTGAGGCAGGAGGATTGCTTAAGCCCAGGAGTCGGAGGTTGCTGTGAGCCATGATGACATCACTATACTCTAGCCCAGACCAGACAATGGAGTGAGATCTTGTCTCAAAAAATAAAGGCATACACTGATACGTAGTACTATAAAAAAAAAGAAGAAAATAAAAATAAAAAAATAAAGGCAAAACAAAATGAATAAATCTTATGTATTCAGTTGGTAGCACAACCACACAGAGAGGAACTGTTTCAAGTGACATTATTATTATTTTTGTTGTTGCCCAGGCTGGAGTGCAGTGGTACAATCATAGCTTACTGAAACCTTGAACTCTGGGCTCAAGCAATCCTCCTGCCTAAGCCTCCTCAGTAGCTGGGACTATAGGCATGTGCTATCATGTCCAGCTAATTTTTGTATTTTTTTTATAGAGATGGGGTTTCTCTACATTACTCAGACTGAGTTTGTGTTTTTTTTGTTTTTTTTTGTTTTGTTTTGTTTTTTGTTTTGAGACATAGTCTCACTCTGTTGCCCTAGCTAGAGTGCCGTGGCTTCAGCCTAGCTCACAGCAACCTCAAACTCCTGGGCTGCAACGTGTGGTCTTTTGTCCCTGCTTCTTTCACGGAGCATGAATATTTTTAAAGTTCATCCACATTGTACGCTTGTATCAGTATTTCATTTCTTTTTATTGACAAATAATATTTCTTATATGGATGCACCAAATTTTCTTTCTTTCTTTTTTTTTTTTGGAGGCAGCGTCTCACTCTGTTGCCTGGGCTAGAGTGCCGTGGCGTCAGCCTAGCTCACAGCAACCTCAAACTCCTGGGCTCAAGCGATCCTCCTGCCTCAGCCTCCCGAGTAGCTGGGACTACAGGCATGGGCCACCATGCCTGGCTAATTTTTTCTATTTTTAATTGCCTGGCTAATTTTTCTATTTTTAATTGCCTGCTAATTTTTTTTTTTTTCTATTTTAGTACAGACAAGGTCTTTGCTCTTGCTCAGGCGGGTCTCAAACTCTGGACCTCAAATGATCCTCCCCTTCAGCCTCCCAGAGTGTTAGGATTACAGGCATGAGCCACTGTACTGGCACATCAATTTTCTTATGCATTCATCAGTTGATGAATATTGGTTTGTGTCTACCTTTTGCTCTTATGAATAATGCTCCTTTGAACAATCATATTTAAGTTTTTTCTGTGGACAA